TGAGCAGAGTGTGGGTAAAGGCCAGCATGTGGGGACTTCATAGCAGTCCAAGGCAGAAAGCAGCACTTTTCAGACAAGAAGGAGACCGGAGGGGCCTGAATTCACATCTAATTAAAAAGCAGGACCATCACAATCTGCCTCATTGTCTAAACTCTCCACCAGAACTGTGGCAGTTAAAAAAAAATCAATAGCACCTTTCAAACACCCAGATCTGTCCTTAAAGAGGTGTCCTCAAAGCTGTGATCTGAGCCTAATTCTCAACAGAAGTGCCATCAAGAAAACCTATTTTGAACTTACCCAAAATACCAGAATCACAAAGTAAGCCTGTGTTCTAACCTGGAAGAGACTTTGGCTCTGGAGGTTATAGAAGAGTTGAGACCCCAAACATTTGCAGCAGGATAAAGGGAACTTTTATTGAAAATCAGTTCAGAGGGGGCTGGAGAGATATCTCAGTCATTAGGATCCAGGAGACCCATGCTCTGTTTACAACACCCACATTGGGAGGTTCACAAACTTTTTAATTCCACTTCCTGGGCCTCTGGTGTCCTCATCTGGCCTCTGAGGGCACCAGGCACATGTGGTGATGTACACACATGATTACATCTACTCATACACAAAAAATTAAAAATCAATCCAAAATAGAAAATGTCTATGTCTGATGGTGGGTCAGGAAGAAGTAGTGAGGGGTTAGGGGATGAGGTAAATGAGTGTCCCCATTGATTTGATTTCTTCCTAGTAATTCTTCAAAAAGACAAATAAGACACACCACAGCTCCCAGCCCAGTCATTGTCCTTAGAGAGTTATTCATAGACACAAGCCACAAAATGACATAAATGATGGCCAACTCCATTAACCTGCTCTGCTCTACTCACAACAGGAAACAGGTCAGACCAAGTCCAACCAGAGATAATGGACAGCATGGCAGTGATTTTCCAATCACGTGCTAGTTATAGAAGAAATACACCCCCCAAGGTGGCCAGTAAAATCCAGACAGTGGTCCACCTCTGCTTCTGATTTGCCACACTTGGAAGGCCCATCACCTCGGGAAACTCAGTCAAGAAAACCGTTCCTTCCAGTCCACGAAGTATGGACTCAAAGACAAGAGGCATCTGCAGGGCCCAAAAGCTAATAGGGGAAAAGGTAGGAAGCAAACGCAAACTCAGGGTGGACTGAAGTGTCTCCTCTTCTCCTCTCCAAAGGGCACATGAGCAGACAGTGTAGAAAAGGAAGGCCTGAGGCAAACTCGGGGGGGGGGGGAGCAACCAGGAACCAGACTCTGTGCAACAGGGACTACAGTGCCCAACCTTTTGTTTATAGCGTGTAGGAACCATCTGTAAAGTAAAGATATTGTTCTGCAAGCGTTCCAGAGGATGCTTGGGAGACTACAATGGTAGTTGCTGGGGAGACAGAACGCATGCAAGGTTTCCATGCACGAGCCTCGCACCACCTGAGCAATCTCCGCCAAGTAAGGTGCTTGTATTTGTATTGCACCAACTTGCAAGTAGTTCCCGCCACGGGGCTTCCTTGGGATCCCCAAGGGGCAAAGCTCTGCCTTCAGCACACATGGTCCCAACCCCATAGCCTTGCACTTTCTGCTGATTAGGGTCAGAGGTCGAGAATATGGCTCCTGGAGCCAGGCAGCCTGGGCGGGAATCCAGGCTTGGCCCTTCTATAACCCGGAGGCCAACAAAGTCACTAAAGTTCGCCAAGCTCCAGTGTCGTTGTTTAAACACACAGAAGATGGCATTACCTACCTTTTCTAAGGTTTTTATAAGGAGTGAATGGCTCTTTTCACACACACATACACTAGGAGAGAGAGAGAGAGAGCACTTACGTTGTTATGCAACACACAGTGAATACTGCATGTGTTAACAATAATTATCAATACTGCTCTATTGTCCCTGGATTACATTATGAAAAAGGCAGCACTATTTGTTACTACTGCATGATCAGGGACTTTCTTTTAAAGTTCTGTCAAGAAGGATCAGTGTTTGTGTGACTTTCTGAGTCCCATCTATTCACGAGGCTAGCTGACGCCCAGCAGCATCATGACTTAATGGAAATGACAACAATTCAGTTTCCTTATGAGGCAGGCATGGCATTTGATCACTTTGAAAAACCCTGAGATACTGATGGCCTTGTATAAAGAGTATTTTTATGCATCATGGCTGTTTTGTTTGTTTATTTGTTTTGGAGGGGGGTTGAAATGGTTACTATGCTGTGTATGTCTCCAACGTGGCGCCAGAGGTGAGGTCAGTCTTCAGGGGATTGTGTGCTGTAAAATTCCATACAACAGGAGCACAGTATAACTTTTTTTTTTCAGTAGCATATTTTGCAAGTCTAATTTAACAGACAGTCAGGTTTTCTGGCTGACCTCTTTTTTTATTTTATATCCCTTTGGGCAATATGAGAAATGAAAGCTGAAAGTTCTCTCTCTCTCTCTCTCTCTCTCTCTCTCTCTCTCTCTCTCTCTCTCTCTCTCTCTCACACACACACACACACACAGAAGGGACGGGTGGGGGAGAATGAGGCCATTTTCATTAATTCCATTTGCACTGTTGTCCCTACAGTAGCTAGGAGCCACTCCCATCACATCTTAGGAACCCAGATCTCTCCAGTCTAGGCCATTCAACATCCATCCTCACTTACAACCTAAAGCCTCAGAGGTGCACATTCAGGGTCTTGCACAGATGAACTATGTAGACCGTCCGCCTAGGTGGGGATGGCTTGTTCTCACTACTAAAATAGCTCACTTATTTTTCTCCACAAATATCAGTTCTCCACTCCACCCTCAAATAAGAAAGTTCAATTCCTTCTACAGCTTGAGGTGAAAACTAAAATGGATATAAATGATTCATGGCTGAGCCTCCATTTCACGGCTTTGCCATGACTTTCCTTCAGCAGTGAGACAGCAGGCCTGTGAGAGCCGGCCCCTGTAGAAACTATGTTGAACAGAGAAGGAAGGAGGTCGGAGAAAGTGAGAGGGAGACTTTGGTTCTCCTCCTGTCAAGGTTCTGATGGAGTACACTGGAGGGGGCGCTCTCTCATGGTAAGCTCGTGGTGGCTCAAATCTATGTGTCTTTGTTCTCTGTAAAAATGAATGTCGCCAGGGCCCTGGGTGTCCATGATCAGAATCTACATTCCTCTTAAACCCACTGTGTTTATTCTATCTCAGCACCACTCACTGACTCACGCGGGTCTAGCATTAGACTACCAGGCAGCATCACTGGCCATCACTTCACACCAACTCCCTGTGAGGAGGTGGCACTTTGGGGGGGTTTCTTCTGAAGCTCTATTTTATAGGAACGGGGTACCTCAGCCTGTGGCTCTGGGGAGGAAGTGCTGTAAAACCTGAATCACTAGTCTGCAGCTAATGAGCTCATTTAAAACAAGCCACTTCCCAAGTGAGACTGGGATGTCCCTGGTCCCAAGCTCTAGGCTATCAAGCTTCAGCCATCAGGGTAGCTTTTGGAAAGCACCTGGATCCAGGAGCAATTGCCCTTTCTCTTCCCAGGAAGAAGCAGAGTCTCCAAGAAGGCAAGCATGGGAGGTCCTTTTACAAAGCTCTTCAAGGGACTACAGGCCAGGGAAATGACTGGATCCACGTGCAAATTTACACACAGGTGTGCATTAGTGGGTGTATGAACATGGGGACACACACACACACACACACACACACACACACACACACACTCTGCACAGTGCCCTGAGGAATCCCAATATATCTTATTGTATCTTCCAGGAATCAGTCTCAGCTGACTCAGAGTCGTCACACCATCCTCTAGGGAACAGAATATCAAAAGACAGAGTAATCTCCTTCTGTCTCTCTGTTACATTATGCCTCTATTCTGCAGGAGGGCCACCTTCTCCTGGTCCTTCCTAATGGGAACACCTTCTCCTGGGTGCATGCAATAAGCCCATAGAGATGTTGTTGTTAGGAGCTGACGGTTTAGCTTAGTGTGGAGTGCTTGCCCAGCACACAAAAGACGCTGAGCCTGATCCCCAACTCTGCAAAACTAAGTACATAATACCAAATAAATTGGAATGCCTGTCACCACACTGCTGCTTCTGCTCAGAATGACCCCTCACCTTTGTTTTAAAATACTTTGAGACATTTTTGGAAGCCTCCTTTGAGCACCGGCTCCTCACTAAGACTTCCCAGGCTCTGTCCTCTAGACCTGCACATGCTGTTCACGAGGCATGGTAACACTGTGACATGAGCTTGCACATCTGTCTTCCTCACCAGACGCAAGGTTTTAAAGAGCAGCTTCCTCGTGCACACGGATTACCCAGGGAGCCCCTTAAAATGGAGTGCGTGGGGAATGGGTGTCTGCATTTCTCATGGCTCCTAGGCCACTGGAGCCTCGGCCCCACAGACTTCACCTGAGTCACCTCAGAGTCGGTGTCTGAAATCTCGGGGGCCCCATTCTTCGTCTGTGTTCCCAACAGCTGCCCAGCAGCTCTGCTGACGAGGGGGGAGGGGAGACAGACGTCAGGGCAACTGGCACAGCATAGAACAGCATGTGTGTGCGCATGTGAGTTAGATGTACTGAGGGATCCGCTAGTCAGAGAGGGAAAGGAAGCAGTGAGGTGAAAGATGAGACAGGTCATAGTAAATAGGAGATGAGGAGGGAGGCAGAGGCAGAGAGGAAGGAGCTGAGGAAAAGATGAGAGGGAGATGAAGGAGAAAGGAGGAGATTCTGGCTCAGCTGCCCTGCTGGGGGAGGAGGGATCTGGCTTGTGCATTCTGGCTTTCCAGATGACAGGCCTGACCTGTGGACCAAAGTCTCCCAAGGTGAGTGCTCCAGCCCTTACAGCACTGAGGGAGGGTGTGCAGTGTTGGTTCTCACGTCTATGTTTCTTCCTTGCTGAGCTGTAAAGGACCAGCTGTTTTGGTAAGACTAATGACAAAAGCGGAACTCAGATCACACAGGTGTGTAGAAGAAAATCCTAATGGTAGAAAGTATTTCACCTGCTAATACAACCCAAACAAAGGTTACCTGATACAGTTCGATCCGCTGCTCGGCCACCCTCGCTTTGGGATTCTGCAAACGAAAGACTCTGAACTCTGCCTTCACCAAATTAGAAGCGTTCTTCTCCATCATCGAGACATCGAAGCGGACAATTCTGAAGTAGGGTCTGTAGAAAGTGGGCGGGATGGCATCTGTAAAAAGTTAGGGCAATGGTTGAGAAAGATTAAACCCACCATGCTCTCAAGAAAGACCACAGTGTGAGATAGTCTCAAGGAGCCATATGGGAAATGTCTACAGAATTTCATTTCCAATGGCCAATTTAATACCATTAACAATTTAACCAGGAACCAAACGAAAAGCAACATGTGTGCTTAGTTCCAGGAGAAGCAGATTAAGAACGATTAACAAACCATTTCCAACCACGTCTGAAAGCAAGCAGTTAACCCTGTCTTTCGAAGGCTGACAGGCCAGTGGAAAACCCTAGACGGTTATGAATTGGAACAGGTTCATGACAGTTGATGGCTGGAGAGAGCTGCCGGGCTTGCATACACTTTAATCAGATATGCCAAGAAAATAGCTCCTAAATGGCAAGCTTCTGCCCGTGTGTTTTTTTTCCTTGAAAGTTTGGCTCCAAATACTCCACTCTTATTCAGCCTCATGGACTGAGTCGTAATTTTTACTCTGAAAGTCTGGGTTTTCACGCATATGACCAAGTTATGATAAGGAAATCTGAAAAACAAAAATAGACCCTCAAACTATCCACACCTGGTCTCAAATTCTTGGGGGTAGGTAACATGATCTGCAGGTAGGTGGAAGGTGACCCTAGCTCTGAAAGAAGAAGGAAGCACCAATTCCATTAGTTTGGAGCCTTGTGGAAGACAGCATTTGTGATCGATAGTGTACAAAAATTTCAAGACCGTGCATTGCTTAGAATTTTGCTGATGTTTTCTAGCAAGTGCCATTGCTTTTGAGTATGAAAGTGAGGTTACCCTAAGACCTGAGCAAGTTGCCCTGCCTCTCTGATTTCGCCCCCCCCCCCCCATATGCACTGAGCAACAACAGACCACTGGCTTTGAGTATATTTCTGTAACCTTGCAAAATTTTCCTGTAAGTTTACCTTCCTCATTCCAAAATATTCCATCTATTCTGGAAGCTCTACTTCTTTCTGCCCTTTGTACATTCACAAGGTGTTGTTAGGTGTTGTTAGAACGTAATAATTCATGGTTATGATGTTTTTCTCTAAATGTGTTGACGGTTTCTGCATTGTGTTTATTTTGCTTCCTCCCTGGGAAATTTTAAAGATCTGGAAAGTAGAGGCCATTTGCAAGGAACCTCTTCCCCCCTCCCACCTGGACAGGGACAAGGTTCTGAATGCACGGAGTGCCACAAATATCTATTTTGCACAGCTGATCACCAATGGGAATCCCGAAGGAGTCAAGGTACCAAGCTATTGGCAACACTAACTTATTAAACAAACCATCTTGCCGATTTTAAAGCAGATATAAATAGCTCCCATGAATCTGTGACAATTATACTGGAGTGAGGGTAGCTGGAAACAAGCCCAAGCCCCTCATCTTTAGGTCTTCAGTTTTTCCTCATGGGTGCCTTTTCTTATCTCTTCACCTACCCTTGAGACTGCAAATTCAGTCTCCTGAATCCCAAGTCAGCTGCCCCATGAATCCAGGCTTTGTTTGTACCTGGCAAACCAGAACTCTAAGAAACAAACAAACAGCCCCGCAAATCCAAAACAAGCAGGTTTTGGAGAAATGAAGGTATTGGTTCAGACACTGTGATGGCCCTCTGTGGAGGAGATGGCGGGAAAAGCCTTCAGCCCAACAGAACAGTCTTTGGGGTCCACTAGTATAGCAATCCTATAAGGCAGCTCTGCTGAGACCACATCCACTTTTCTTTGCTTGGAAAATACCCATCCCAGCAATCATGCCTCCTAATCCTGTGCTGAGCGGCACAGTCAAAAGCAGCTCCTTCGCCCTGGCAGAGCAGGCCAGGCAGGCAGACCCTGGCTTTCCACACCCTCTTGGCCAGAGCCTTACACAGGAGGCATGGCCACATCCATCTTCACTTATCCTCGGCGTTAGACAGCAGAGGCTTCAAGCATCCTTTAAAAGCACATCCTGGAAGAGCAGGACCAGTTGTGTGTGTTTCCTGTCATTAGCCAGTGTAAACATCTTCCTTTCTCCCCGCCCCCTTTTCTTCGTGTGGAGCCATCTTTCACACCCATCTGCCACAATCTCCTCCTTCATCAAGTTTGTAAATAAGCGCTTCCCAGATTTATTTTTATTCTCTTTTGTGTTTATTAAACTTTGAGCAATCCCCCCCCCTTTCTGGTCTTTCGCCCGTACACACGCATTTCCTTTTTATGGCTGCCTCAGACCGTGAGGTCAATTTTGTTTCTACTTCTTCTAAGCAAATCTCCAAATGATGCTGTCCCAGGCTTTCGAGCCCTGAAGGAGTGTCGGCAAATATTTACAACAGCAGCTTGATGGCTAAGTGCATTTCCCTCAGCTATACTCCCTCGGTCCCAGGCAAACAGTCCTTTCTTCTGGCTTGAGGAACCATTTAGACAGCTTGTATTTCAACTGGCTGATAATACCAACCTGCATTTAGGTTCCTGTTTTGTAAATAAAAGCAGTTAATGTGCAAGGAGGAAAGATAGCTGAGCAGCCAGCATCAGTGTCTCGGCTCAGGTTTTGGAGCCAAGGGAAGCAACCAGGCCTGGAGGAGGATGTGACAAAAGAAGTCAGTTAAAAGCTGCCAACCCAAGAACCCCCACCAAAGGGTCCCAGCTGTCCTCTGCTCTCATTTGCTTACTGGTCACAAGGCCCCTGACCTGGATGAGGGACTTGAGCAGCATGCCAAATGTCCTCTCATTTGGGGGAAATTTCTTGGATTGTAATGGGTCAGGGTTAGCACCAACCAGAACCAGAACAAGGCAAGCTCCCTCCTTCGGCTCAGGTGCCAGAGCAGCAGGGCAGGGGTTTAATGGCTTGTGCAGCACGGATCCGCCCTGGGAGCCTTGGAGGAGGGAGCTGTTTCCTCTGCCTCCTCCAGGAACTCACTTCCCCCCTCTGGGATGGGTTCTTGCTCTAACCCTCTGTTATTCCAATCCGGGTTTCCATTCTCTCTCCAGGTGGCCAGGTACTCTTGCTGGGCCATGGCCGGCTTACCCACACTGACAGCCTGGCCTCCTCCTCTCCATTTCTGACCCACTTTTTCAACTCCAGCACACTGATTTTCCTTCAAACCTCTGGCTTTCGTGCCAGCGCTGGCCCTGTTGGCTTCCCATGTGCCTTGCCCTCAGAGAAAAGCATGAGCCGGGAAGACTGCATGTGTCAAGTGTTGAGAGGTTTCCCCTCAGCTTGCTAAATCAAATTTGGGGAGTGGGAGAGCTGGAGGACGGGGATTTAACTGCTCAATAACTTGCAAAGTAACTATACAGAGTGCTAAGTGTAGTATTTAATCACACACTAATTTATTATATAAGTTGTATTCTCTGTACGTGAGCACCTTGAGCCGTTTTTTGCTGTCATTTCCTTCTTCACAGCCCAGAGCTGACTTCTTGACTAGTGACCAGAGCACACACACGTGGGCCCCATGCTCAGAAAGGCGCCACACTCCGGCTGAATGCTCCACGGTGGCATCTTGGAACCCTTAATAACTCTTTAATTCATGTTTTGTAAGTAAAGTCCTACATGACAGGGGGGTATGAGGCTCGGAACCTCAGTTCCTGCACCGATTTTTCCTCCCAGGAGTCTCTCCCTCTACCCTTTGCTCTCTGGTGGCGCCATGCTCATTCTTACGTTCTTAGACAACCCCATGGCCACTGTTAGCCTCTACAGCTAGAACTGGGGTCAGGAGCACGACCCAAGTCATTTCCTGGTGGCAACTGCCCCATCTCTCACTGGCAGTGCCACTGTGCAATCAGGGGAACCCTGAGTGGGAGCACACCTCCAGCCCACTCTAGGGACCGAGTGTAGGCCACTGCGGAATTTACCCTATCTTGGGATGGAGCAACAGATTTATGGGATGCATATGCTGTCTTGGTGGGACATCGCTGGCAGCTGGGGCCAGGGAGACCCTAGCAACAGGTGGGCTGAACATCTACAGTAAAAAGCAGGACCATGGGTACCTGTGAGGGTCTTTCAGTGTAGAAATAACACGGCTCCAAAGAAGCCCAGTATAAAATAGCTCACACACACAGATGCCAGAGAGAAAAAGAGAGACAGTGAGAGAGACAGAGAAACTACGAAGCAAAGCAGAACGTTGTACATGCTATGACCAACTTTCCTTCCTTCCTCTTTTCCTTCCTTCTTTCCTTTCTTCCTTCCCTCCTCCCTCCTTGCCTGCCTGCCTTCCTTCATTCTTCCTTCCTTCCTTCCTTCCATCCTTCCTTCCTTCCTGTGTCCTTCCTTCCTGTGTCCTTCCTTCCTTGTTTCCTTCCTTCATTCATTCCTGGTGCTTCCTTCATGGTGATACTAGGGATTGAATCCAGGGCCTCATGTAAGTTATACCGTTGTTCCACAACTGAGCTATATCCCCAGCCGTTCCAGAATTTTCTGCCTCCCCTCTTTTTTTCTGTTTGCCCAAGAGACCCTCTGGTTTTCCTTTGAAAAGAGATGCTCTACATTGCATATCTATCCCTGATACAATCACACAGAACAAGATCTCAGGACAGGGAAAATCTCGATGGGGATCTCAGTTCTAATACCAAATCAAGCCGAGCTTGGCTGAACGCAGCAAGGATGTGGTCCGGCTTTCCTGGTGCTGCCAGGGTGACATGAGCAAGAAGAAGGGAAGTTGGAGCCCTGGATCTTGCTCCAGTCTCTGCCCAGGTCCCTTGCAAAGCTGCCAAGCGGCCATCAGGCCTTTGTGAATGTGCCTGGGAGGGAAGCTCTTGCTGCCTGACAGAATTCATTAGAGGCAAAGAGAAGGAACAAAACAACAGCATGCCCCGGGCACTGGAGAAAGGGCTCTGTGTGTTCTAAGTCCTGTCCCCTTCATGGGGAGGAGCTCATCACCAGAATCTTCACAATTCCCACCATCTTCCCTTGGTTTTACTGAAAGTCCTGACCACCCTGAAGGTTGACAGGAGAATTCCATCGTCCCACCCTCCGCCATAATGCTCAAATGAGGTCGCAAAAACAAAAAACAAAAAACCAGGCAGGTATAATAG